GCTAGGCTAATCCTCTGCCTTGCGGTGCCGGCACACCAGGTTCTAGTCCTGGTCGGGGTGCCGGATTCTGTCCCAGTTGCTCCTCTTCCAGGCCAGCTCTCTGCTGTGGCCAGGGAGTGCAGTGGAGGATGGCCCAAGTGCTTGGGCCCTGCACCCCATGGGAGACCAGGAGAAGTACCTGGCTCCTGCCTTCGGATCAGCGTGGTGCGCCAGCCGCAGCGCGCGGGCCACGGCGGCCATTGGAGGGTGAACCAACGGCCAAGGAAGACCTTTCTCTCTCTCTCTCTCTCTCTCACTGTCCACTCTGCCTGTAAAAAAAAAAAAATAGAAACAGAGTGGCCTGGACTCCAACTAGCGCTCTGATATCCAGGGCTAGAGTCGCGAGCAGTCTCTTGATCTGCTGCACCACGATACCAACGCCCCAGCCCTCTAACTTAATCTTCACAACTCCATTCTTCCCTCTCTCCCCGCTGGATTCTCTGTTCGTTGGGTATAGGGGTCAGCTTTGTCCTCTTTAGATCCTCGGTACCTAACACAGAGTCAGACTAAAATTTCTGTACAACTAAAATTATACTTAGGTTTAAGGCGGTTCACTCCTGAAGAATTAATTTTGCCATTCTTGTTCAGTTATTACCAACCATCGGAGGGATTTTGTAGAGATAAAAGAGACAGAGGAAGGCAATGATGTGTGTTGCCTCCTGCTTTTGATAAAAACCAAAGCTCTCTTCTCTCTGTCTTGCTTCCCCTTCTCTTATAAAGCAGGCCAAAGTGGAACAGTAATCTCTTGGTCATTTTCTAAGTCATTTTTTCTAGGTCATTGTACAAAATCGTGCCTGTTTTCACAACGAGAAGGAGGAGGGTGCCTACGTGCAGTGGGGGTGGCACTGGTGGGGAAAGATATTTCCTTAAACCCTGATCAACAGCCCACTTATTTTTTTTTTCCTTTCAAAATTACAGCTTATTCCCAGAAACGGTTCCCTGTGTGCAGAACTCCACTGCTCACGGGTTTGGATCTACTCTATCGAATCTCCAAGGCTGGGGAATCTTGGCCTCAGCAGCCATCAGCGACCTGCCGTTCATGGGGAACGAAGGAGACGTGCAAACCCCAGAGCCGCAGGAACGTGGCCCGTGGCTCCACGCTCGCTCCCAGGGCGGCTGATCCCATCCGGCAGGAATGTGGAAAACAGCGGCTTTCCCAGACAGAGACCCCAAGCTATACTTTGAGGTGATGCAACCCAACCCAGCCTGCTACGGAGCCAAGGGAATTTCCATCGGCTCCACAACCTTTCTTGAGCCGGTTGGTCACCCGAGATCTGAAATTACAGAAAAAGCAAAACCTAGGAAAATCCAGAGGATTCAAACGGTAATGATAAGGTATGCTTGGAAGGCATACCGCGCGCCGTGGGTTAGCCAACTTTACATTTTTCTAGCTTTTGTAACAACCATGGAAGATATTTTGTGACTAAGAAGTCGGGGCTTAGAGAGGCTCCGGAGTTTAATAAATGGCAGAGCCCAGCGTTTCTCATTCAAGGACACCTACTAGGGTCTGGCAACACTGCTGGAGGCTACAGCTGTTGGGGGGTGGGAGAGAGCAGTGCTCCTGGCATTTGTGGGCAGAGGTTAGGGCTTCACGGGACAGCCCCCCAGCACAGGCTCACGTCGGCTGAGACGCCGGGTCTGGCTGAGTCCCAGGTGGACTTTGTGCCTTGCTGAGCATCCAGCTTCCAGACGGACCGGGAGACAGCTGAGGCTGTGAAGGTGCGGCGGGAGACACCAGACCACCCAGGGCCGCCGGCTTGCTTAGGCGGAGGGTTCCTCTGATCTGCAGTGTAGACCGTGGGAGCCTGACTCGAAGACAAGCGTTCTAAGGGCACACACGTGTGAGGTGTGCAAAGTGATGACAACTTTTATTCAAAAGGTGAGAAAGTGAACACACACACACACACGCATGAGCAAGGGTGGTCCCACTTGGAGACATGCCCATCGTGAGAAGGCAGTGAGCCAGAAGATTGCCCTAAAGGGGGAGCGATGGGGCGAGGCAGACAGAGAAAGGGCACCCACATGGCACCTCGAGCTGTGGTCTGCAGTGAGAGAGAGCGAGCGAGCAAGCTCTTCTGATGTCAGCCCCTTTTCTGAGGTTGGGGGTGGAACTCTATGACCCCTCTACAATGCCATGTGGCCCTCAGTATCCATATTGGCAACCACCTCTTAGGCCCCGACGGAAGCAGATGCATCCTGGGAAGGAGGCGTTTTGATTGACAAGCAGGAGGCTAGAATTACATCTGGGGGCTTGTGACTTCCAGCTCAGCAGACCCAAACTACCTGCCTGTCCCACATCAAAGGGGTGGGCAGGGAGTGGAAATACATGTAAGCCAAAACCCTCCCGTCATTCAAACAGGCTGTCTGTTTCGTCAGCCCAAGGGCGCTGCCCAGCGTGGTCTCGGATGCAGAAGGCAGGCCGGTGGAGCTGGACAAAAGCCAGCCTTCTCAGCCAGGGAGCTCTGCTCTCTGGCTGCCTCTGGCCGCTGTCTGCCAGCCTGGAGATTGATCGGGAACCGGGGCAGCCCGTGCGGCCCTTATCTCAGCACCCTGTGGCCCGTTGGCTGGGAAGGGCCCGCCAAGTCTGCTCTGTCAGCCCAGCCGCGCTGTCAGCACGTGGAGCTGGGCCAGCGGGCTGGGTGGGGCGGTTGGTACCAGACACCCAGGCCTGTTCCCTGTCCTCCCCCTACTAACAAATGGCTTTGCTGGCGCTGCCGCCACATGGCCCTGGGAGCGCAGACTCCCTGTCGGCCAGACTGCCATTTTTCTGGGCTGGATAGCAGCATGAAACACGGAGGCTGTCTTGGCTGCAGTTGTGTGTAAGCGCTCGCTCACACATTCTCCCCAGCATTAACCAGTCATCAATCAACCTGGGAAGTTTTTCCAAGATCACCCCCAGCGCGGGGCTTTGCTGGAGCAGTCACGGAGTGGAGGCAGAGACAGCCTCAGACCATTCTCAGGGACCTCCCCTCTGCTTGGACCCTAAGACCTGCCCTGGCTTCCACATATGGACCTCTGGGAGGGGGGGTCTCCCCAGGGGGGCCCCACATGCCTCTGTCCTCCCCAGCAGAGCCACACCTCTGTCCACCTGCTCACCTGTTTGCTTCCCTGGCAGGGCTGTGTGTTTGCCTGGAGTGCTCTCGTCCACAGCTGCACCCTTGTGCGTGGCAAGAGGCTTGGTACCTCTGGGTGGGCCAGACCGCATCAGTGACATGAACAACGCTGGCCACGCTATGTGCACAAAAAATCCTGCCCAGTGCTTTACCCAGCTGCCTTCTCACTCTTAGGGGTCTTGGTTTTGAGAAGACTCGAAGGCAAGGGCTGCTCCAATGTATGAGCGAACTTCAGAAGCTCCTGGAAAAATGGAATTAAAAGACTAGTTTATTTTGGCCAGTGCTGCAGCTCACTAGGCTAATCCTCCGCCTTGCGGCGCCGGCACCCCAGGTTCTAGTCCCCGTTGGGGCGCCGGATTCTTTCCTGGTTGCCCCTCTTCCAGGCCAGCTCTCTGCTGTGGCCAGGGAGTGCAGTGGAGGATGGCCCAAGTCCTTGGGCCCTGTACCCCATGGGAGACCAGGAGAAGCACCTGGCTCCTGCCTTCAGATCAGCGCGGTGCGCCGGCCGCAGCGGCCATTGGGAGGTGAACCAACGGAAAAGGAAGACCTTTCTCTCTCTCTCTCTCGTGCGCGTGCGCTGTCCATTCTACCTGTCAAAAAAAAAAAAAAAAGACTAGTTTATTTTGATGCAAAAAGAATTGAAGTCCTTGCATAATGCTCTCCTTTTCCATGGAGCTTTTGAAGAACCTTCATATGCATGGATATCAAAAATTTTTGCAGCAAAGTCAACTTACATTTTAGTTCCTTCCCCACATACTTTTTGAAGTACACTTGCATGCCTGGGACATGAACAGGAGCTCAAAGGGCTGAATGGGTGCACAAATAAATGGGAGCAATGCGCATACCTGGGCTTGAGACTGTTAGTAGTTTGCTTCCAGAGTCGATCCAAAACAGGCCACCAGAGGCTATACAACTGGGTGTATTTATCAAAACTCACTAAATATTACACTAATTACAGTGACTTTTAATATATAACATAATAATAAGTAATATACATTAATTTCATTTTTTAAAAGATTTTATTTATCTATTTGAGAGGCAAAGTTACAGAGAGAGAGAGAGAGAGACAAAGAGAGGTCTTCCATCCACTGGTTCACTCCCTAAATGGCCACAACAGCCAGAGCTGAGCCGATCTAAAGCCAGGAGCCAGGAGCTTCTTCCAGGTCTGCCACGCGGGTGCAGGGGCCCAAGGACTTGGGCCATCTTCTGCTGCTTTCCCAGGCCATAGCAGAGAGCTGGATTGGAAGTGGAGCAGCAAGGACACATAACAGTGACTGTAGGGGATGCTGGCACCCCAAGGGGAAGCTTAGCTCCCTACGCCAAAGTACAGACCTAAAACTTCTCTTGCTTGAGGGATTTACTTACCCCTCTCCTAACATATTACATCCAACAATAGCATGCATCAAGACCCAGGGACCACTTTTTAGGGTCAGATTTAGTACAGCTTTGTGTTGACAACATGTTTTTATAATTTTTAAAATTTCATCATTTGCAGAAATCTCCAGTGTTCGGCCAAAAATGAATGATAAAGAAGGCAGCGGAGATCATGTATTGGGCCCAAAACAGCAGAGCTGTCAGGGTCTTTTTTCCCCCCCAGTCTGTACCAGCTTACACCCCGAATCTCCCATGGCTGATTCTCCCGTGTTTGGTTTGTTTCGCTGTAGGCTGGAATCACCAGCCTAAGGCAGATTCAGTGAAATGTTAGCAGTGGGAGATTTCTGTGTGTTGCATCAACTTGCAAGTTTGCAGAGTTTTGAACTAGTTAGCATTTCCGGAATTGGCAGTTTCCTGTTGCCGACCCAGTACCCCGGTTTCTCCTCTGAAACCAGGTGATGGCGGGGCCACGTGCCCACGTGGCAGGAGCCAAGGGGTGGCTGCTCTCTCCGAAGGAGCGTGTGCCCTCCAGCCTGCTGGAGTCTGCGCCCTCACTCCCGCTGCTGCCCCGGCTTTTGAGCGCTTTGATTGGCAGCCCCTAGCCTGAGGCGCGGCCAGGTGCGTGCCATGGAGCTTGCCACAGCAAAGCAGGCGGCGGTGACGGCAGAGAGAGAAGCTGCTGAGCAGCGTGGGTCTGCTGGACCTGATCCTGAGTTCCCAGAGCAGAGGGGAGGCTGTCAGGGTCTTGAGAAGTACAGTGTGTCTACAGAGGCGGCAGGGGGCATGGGAGGGTCTGGCTGCTGGTGGACCTGCATTCTGCAACAGGATGGTGTCGGCTGGGACAGGCTATGAGCATGCGCAGGTGAGTGCCTACTTTTCTTCAAGAGCTCCAGGTTCTCACCGATGTCGCTACCGTCTGAGGCTGGGGCAGGGGCCCTGGCTTCGGAAACCTTTCCAGGGAACCTCGGGGGGACACCTCCTCCCACCCTGTGTTGCAGTGGCTTTGAGCCTAGGCTTTATTTCTTTGGGAAGACGCTTCTCGCCGGAGGCAGGTGAGATGCCTTACGTTTCACTCGTTCCTCCTGTGATGAGTTAATGTGCATTAGCTGTGCGGCGCCTCGTCTCGTGTGTGCTAAATTGAATCAGCCGGCTGTCTTCCCGGCCTAAGTAGGATCCTAGAGTCCATTGGCTGGGCAATCACGGTGAGAACTACAGCTGGGCCTTACACCAGGACACTGAGGTTGGCTTTGCGCTTCACGAGGGCCGGGACTGCCTGCCCTTGGGCCTGGAAGTTTCCTGGAGAGCAGAGCTCCTTGGAGCTGCAGATCTAGCAGCCCTGTAAAAGTAAGTGTGGGGTAGGCCGTCTCGCCGGATGTCGCGTGAGAGTGCGCGTTGGCAGGGATGGCGTGGCCTCCGCTGAGTTATGAGACGGCGAGGCCTTCAAGAGTGAGTCTTTTCTCTGGTTGTGCGGTTGCAAATGGCGCCCGTCGAACTACAAGGGGAGTTGCCGCTAGTTACCTCGGACAAGACTGGGAGAGAAATGAGCCCCCTCTGCAGCGGAAGGAAGCGCTGTCTGTTGCTGTGAACACTGGTTTCTCAGCCTGGATCCCCATTAGCATGCACCCTGCCTTCTAATTACACCCTAATTTGCACTGTGCAAACACCTCGTAACAAGCCCTCCACCAGCAGCTTTTCCAATTAGTAGGGAAATCTGTGGCAGATGTGAAATTCGTGGGATGCTGAGAGGAAAATTTTAATTAATTTTTTAGAATTTTGAAGCCCTGTACAAAACCTTCTCATCAGTAGAGACGCCAGGGTAGTTGATGTTCTCGCATCGTGTTGCACTGCGAGTTCTACCCTTTGTGGACCCCGTGTGGACTGGGAGCTGCTTGGGGATTTGATGGGCTGTGAGCTTCCATGGGCACAGCGTGGCTTACGGGGACGGCGAGCCTGCCACTCCGACTGTGTTGGGAGGGATGTCGTGTTTAGTTTCTTCTGCTAAGACAGCCGTCACTATGCTGGGAGCAGGTGAAACGCCTTCCAGGCCACTCGTTACCTTCTGGGATGGATGTGTGTGTGTGTGAATTTCACCTGTGTGAGCCCGGGAATCAGCAGAGACCTTGGCCCATCCCAGCAGAGCGTGAGACCAGCCACAGCCCGAGGGTTTGTCTCCACCAAGGGCGAGAGCCTGGGTCTCTCCCTGTGGCTTCATCTTCTCTCACAGTCCCAAGGCCCCCACCCCCAGGCCCTGGGAGTTGGTGCTGGGAACGTGAGCATGCCCCTTTGAGCACCACCCCCAGAGATGATGGGATGAGCGCCCAGGTTTGATAGGCGTCCAGCTTGAGGGGCCAGCCGCAGGCCCATCTCAGTGTAAGCAGGGACTACAAGAGCTAACGTGGGGAGCGGCGTGTTTAGTCCCCTCTGCAGTAAGAAATGCTAAAGGCAGGTTCCTGTCCCTGCAATGCAGGGCCTGGCATTCTCATGTAGCCTGCGGTGTGAGGGTGTCCCAAGGCCGGAGGCTGCAGCTGCCCGTGTATTCGCCTGTGGCACCCATGTCACCCTAGAGGATACCAGCTGAGGCCTGACATTGGCCTTCTTCTCCCCCTTGACCCCAGCCCCTTCCCCTCCAACAGCTCGCCCACCAGTGTGACGCAGAGTCTGCCCCGCCCCAGAGTAAGAATTCCAGGCCAAGTTCCTCTGGGCGACTCCTTTCTTTGCAGTCGCTTTGGTTTTAATAAAATCTCCATTTCTTGAAGACCAAACCATGTTTCTTGATGGCTGGATCAGAAATCATAACATGAGGGTATGTTGGGAAACTTTGTCGGGAAATGGAATTAAAGAAGGGGTGTATTTGTGTGCACAATCATTTTTGAAATCCATGCAGGTTTCCAGAATTTTCTGAACAACGCTTAGTATTAACGCCGAGAATGGTTCTCAGTCGATGATGCTGAATTGCACTGATGACCCTGGGAGCTTGTCACAGCCCAGGGAGGGGACCCCTCTGACAGTGGAAACAGGGAGGTCTTGACAGGTGACAGTTCAGATCACGCAGTAAGCGGCGTAGCTGGCGCTCAACCCAGGTAATCCTACTCTAGAGGGAAAAGCAGACAAGTGGCGGCACAGCATTGTCCTCCTGGCCCTTGTCCTGTGGAACTGGACACCCCTTCGGGGAAAGGACACACCTTCCACCCCCTCTCGCCCCAGGAGCTCATCCCCCGGGCTGGCTGACACCTACACCGGCCTGGAAGTAACCCCGGAACAGCACGTGGTCCCGGACAGACCTTGCTGGTGGCAGGTCCCCCGGCAGACCCACCCCTCCACACACAGACTCTGCTTGGGACACTTCCCCCGGGTGACTGCTGACTGGGATCCTGTGTGCACAGGTGTGTGGGCGGGCCCGGCTCTCGGAGGTCGGGGCGATGGCAGAGGCTTTCTGCGGAAATACGGGGCTTCACAGAGCACAGGGCCAGGAGAAAGGTCCTGAAGAACATTGTGATTGACAGCAGTACTTGGTGGGATGTGCCGGTCCTTTCCCGCCGTGTTCCTGGTCCTTGGAAACCGGCAAACCGGCTCTGAGTTCACGCAGACTCTGTTCCTAAGGGGTTTTTCAGCTTGCATGCTTTAGCAGGTTTTGCATGAAGAGGCGGAGGGGTGGGGTGGGGGGGACGTACTCTAGGGCTGTGGTTCCCACCTTGGCTGCACCTGACATCAGCTCCGGAGCTTTGATAACCCTCAATGCCAGGTCAAGGCTGCACCAATGAGGTCAGCACTTTGAAGGGTGCAGCCTGGGCTTGCATGGTTTTGGAAGCTCCCCGGGCAATTCCAATATGCAGCCGATTCTGAAAGCCACTTTGAACAGAGAGGTGGACTCCTTTCCTGCCAACTCCTGGCTTTAGAAACCGCAGTCAGTGAGCGCTCTCGCTTGATGCTGTCCTACTGTGCTCTTGGAAGAACAGGCTTGCCTTGCGCTGGAGTTCGCCGTATCTGGCACAGACACAAGGTGTCCTGTGCATGAGCCCTGCCCGAGGACTGGTCATATTCTGTCCTCGCAAGAGCAGCCGGGGAAGGATGGGGACGGAAGGGGAGGAGGAGGAAGAGGAGGAGCCGCTCCTCCTCCCCTTTCAGAGAGGAGGAGACTGAAGCTCAGAAAAACACAGAATTTGCCCAAAGCCAGCCAGCTTCACCGTAACTGGCCCAGGGGCCGATTTGCGCGCATGCGCTGCCCGAGTCCCAGCAGGGCCCCCAAAGACAGTGCAAGTGTGCTTAGCACTGGAGGCCTCGGCTTCGGGGAAACACGGCAACCGCCACAGCGGAGGCCAGAGACGGAGGCGAGAGTTGTCACCAGAGGGAGACAGAGCTTGAGTCATCGGGGCTCTGGCTCAGCGGCGGAGCCACACCGCCCAGAGCCCAGGACAGCTGCGCGGGCGCCCTGGCTTTGGTTTAAGTTCTGCCACCATGTTCCTTCCCCGCCCCTCAGCTCCTCTGTCTGTCTGTCTCTCTCTCCCCTGTCCCTAGGTGTGCAGGCCAAAGAGGGAGGGCTGAGGTCAGCTTCTCTCTCTGCCCTACCACGCCCCTGGAATCTGGCAAGACGCAGGTCCGGAGCTCAGGAATGCCAAGGGCGGAGTCCCCAACCCCTGCCCAGAGCCCTGAGTGCAAAGCCACAGCAAGGGCGGTGGCCGCGGTTGCCGGCTGGGGGGAGCTGGGGGGTTTCTGACCTGGAGCCGTGGTGGCTGCGTCCTCGCTGCCCTCCCCACGGTGGCGGTGGCGTGGGGAGCGGACCCTGTGGCCTCGGGGGCCAGTGGAAGCTGTGCGTCGTGCCCCCGAGCGGTGTCCCGCACAGCTCCCGTCAGCTTGGCCGAGCCTGTCCTGCTGTTTGCCAGCAGATGTGCTGATTCACTTGTTCCCGTCCTAATTCTAGTCCTTGGCGTGCTTTGGAATAGTCTGCAAATTAAGCATCGGGAGAATATTAGAGAGACACAGGGTGGCACGGGTGGGGGCAGGGGGAGTCCTGCGATGGAGTCACAGGATTCGGTGGGCAGGGTTCCCACCCAGGGAGGGAGACCCTCCGGTTCACACCGTGACTGGCTGCTCTTGGGAGAATCCAGCGATGAAGGATTGGGGTGACGGCTTCACTCACGTACCCTCAGTCTATCACTTACTTGTTCAAATACCATTTGGGGAGAATATTTATTTGAAAGGCAGCATGACTGATTGGCTGATTTTTTTTCCAACTACTGGTTCTGTGTCCAAATGACACCAACAGCCAGAGCTGGGCAAAGTTGAAGCCACGGGCTCCATCCTGGTCCCCTGTGTGGGTAGCAGTGGCCAAGCACTTTCGCTGTCTTCCACTGCCGGCCCAGATGGGTGACCAGCGAGCTGGATCAGAAGAGGAGCAGCCAGGAGTCAAACCAGTGCTTCGATGTGGGATGCTGGTATCACAAGAGGGGGCTTTATGCACTGGGCCACAAGGCCCCTCAGTGAGCAGTTTTTGACCATCCCTCATGTGCCAGGAGCTGGGCTAGCTAAGGGGTTAAAAAACCCAATTCGAATGCTCTCAGGGTGCTTAGAGTTCAGAGAGAAGACACAGACAAGAGCTGCCAGTGCTCTGGGAAAGCAAGGGAGTCCTCAGCAGCGAATCCTCAGTGCTGCGGCTGCGCACAGGGTGTGTGTGCATCTGTCCTAGCCAGGAGCTACACACAGTGGGTGTGTATCTGTCCCAGCCAGGGGCTGTGCACAGTGTGTCTGCATCTGTCCCAGCCAGGGGCTGCGCACAGTGTGTGTGTATCTGTCACAGCCAGGGACTGTGCACAGTGTGTGTGCAGCTTCAGTCAGGGGCTGCACACAGTGTGTCTGCATCTGTCA